CCCCAAAACCCCAAAACCCCAAAACCCCAAAACCCCAAAACCCCAAAACCCCAAAACCCCGGAGGGTATTTAGCTTATAGAAATTATGGGATTTTAGGAATGAGGTGGTATATGGGAGGGGGCTAGGAGGGCTTTTTGAGGGATCAGATAGAGGGGTTAGGAGGTTGGATTAAGTAGGGCGCTTTGGGGTTGGATGGGAAGAGGGTTTTGAGTGATGTTAGACGGGAGATTTTGGGATCTTGTGGGGTGAATTTGGAGGAACGGAAGTGGGGTTTTGGATATATTTTGGGATTTTTTAGGTGATTTCGAAGGGTGGAGTGGGAGTAGTGGTTTGGAGGATTTGGGAGCGATTTGTGGGAGATTGAGTGGTGAGGAGCGAAGGAGAAGGGATTATTTGGAATGAGAAACTTTGAAACAGAGGGATCAATTTTGACCTTTTTGTACTTTTTAGGAATTTTTGAATTATTTCTAGTTCGATATGATTTCAAACCTGGCCTTTGTAAAATCAAATTATCAAGAGCTTTAGACTTTCTAGTAGAATCATGATCTTCTATAGGCCTTATCACTTTAATCCTATCTCCCTCATACTCTCCTTTACCCCTTACCACTCCTATCCCCCCTAACTCCCCTTTACCCCTCCTCAAGTACTCACTCAAACCCTGCTCATGATTCTCCCCCAGACACACCCTAAACCCCTCCTCTCCCCTCCTCTCCCCCTCCATCCCCCCTCCTCTCTCCTAAACCCCTCTCCTCTACAAATCCCTTAACATAATCTTCCTCTAAAAACCCATTATCATCTCTAAATTACCTATTCCTTCATCCATCTCTGAACCATTAGGCCAGCTGCTCTCTGAAGTTATTGACTCTAAACAGCTGTTTTTGGAGGCTAAAGTGGGATTTTAGGGGGAAATTTGGGGGTGAGAGGGGGAGTTTGGCTGGAGGGGGTGATGAGTGGGGGTTTGGGGAATGGAGGAGGGGATGAGGGGTAAGGAAGGGGGCTAGGGAGTGGAAGAGGGTTTTTATGGGTTTTGTATTGGTTTTTAGGGGGTAGAAGGAGAAAGGAGGGCTTGTTGGTGCTTATTGATTTAAATAGCTGGGACGGTGTAGCTTGTCAAGGATAGAAGACTGCTTGATTGTTGGTAACAACCAGCGCGGGATTATACTATGTTTTGGAATTTTTAAATGAGGAGTAAAATAAATCACAAGAGATTATCTATCTTATATTTTCATGGTTAACCCTATCTCTTTCTGATAGAATCAAGTATTAAACTAAAGATAGAGTACAATTAAAATTTTGATACAGAATAAAGTATTATTCTACATCTCAGATATTTGAAAAAGGGAGGACTTGACTTTCCCATCGAATGATATCAAACGCACAGTCTTTCTTAATGCGAGAGAAAGATTATATTACCAGTGTAAAGTTTTGTTAATGAGCAAATGTCTGCTTACCATTTCAATCCATCTTTAATAGTTCAATTATTATACATTTTGTAGGGGTTTTGGGGTTTTGGGGTTTTGGGG